AATATTAACTGAGTAAGCAGGAAGTGCAAGCAAGTAACTTCTAAAAACTGTGAGAAATGGCAGAAACAGCTGGCTGCCTGGGCAGTCACCCAAGGTTCCTCTGCAATGTTGGGGCATCCATTTCTGGCCTACAGGCAGGCCTAGCATATCTGACAGATTTTTCTGTGAAGCAGGATATTCTGAAGGGCTGTCCTACCTTGTTTTGGCAAAGTTCTGCAGTCCTTTCTTTTGTGTCTTGCTTGCCCAATTTGGACAGCATACTGTCAGCAGTCTAGGCAAGAGTGCTTTCTTGCCCAGTGGCTAACCTTTGCCACAAAGACAGTAAATTCCGTATGGAATTTCTTCAATGCCACACATCATCTTCTCTGAAGTAGATTGGTACATCCAGGTGCAGACATGTCTCATTGTCATAAAAAAGAGAAAAGAACCTATGTTATTAAAACGTCTTAAATGCCATATTCTATGATCTCTGAAGTGTTTGAAGACTGCCTGTTTATCTAGAATATTGACCTTGAAAACAATACCTAGCGTTGACTGCAAGTTTGATTGTAATAGGTGACCAGTTAAATTACTAACCTGCATTTTTTTTATCCTAACTAGTTAGTAATAATAACTTTCAAGGAATGAAAATTCGTATTACATTGAGTTGCATAGGTACAATACCTTGAACCAAGCCAATGTAAAATTTTAAAACTAGTAGTTGTTTTTTGGTTTAGAAGTAGATTCAATAATCTACCCTTATATCCTGTTGTATCTATATCTACCCCCCCTTTTTAAAAACAACTCTGAATCTAATTTTTTTTCAACTTTTAAAAAAAAGATTTATTTATTATGTACATAGTGTTCTGTCTTCTTGCATGCCTGTATACACGAAGAAGGTATCAGATCTCATTAGAGATAGTTGTGAGCCACCATGTGATTGCTGGGAATTGAACTCAGGACCTCTGGAAGAACAGCTAGTACTCTTAACCTCTGAGCCATCTCTCATCCCCTCTTTTCAGCTTTTTTCCTGAGCATTACCAGTAACAACTTGTAACCAAACCCTCTCCCTAAACCCTGACAAATATCCATAACCCCTTGGATGACCAAGAATCACCCACCCCACTTCTTGGGAATGTGGGCATTGTATTATTAAGTTTATTTCCTGCTGTCTAGACGTGATAGCATCTTCAGGGGATCTTGAAAAGAAAAATCTGGGTTAATTGTCAAGTTATCAAAGAGCTAGCTATATCATTTGTTGTCCAGTCTCTGTGTAATGGGAAAGTACAGGGCTTTTCTCAAGTTCTGACTAGAGTAGTCTGTGAGGATGGATCATCTCAGCTACTCATCTCAATTTTCCTGAGCAGTTTGTAGTACAAAGCCTATCTTTAGATGATATGTTTTTTAGCTTAGTGGCATTGTCACAGTCCTGATGGAGACTTCAAAGGTTGTTGTTAGGCACAGTCATGGTTCACTGCAGAAAACTGGAATATTCTAAATGTCATATGCAGCAGATCTCAAAGAAGTTAAACGATCAATATTTGTTATGTACATCCAGAGTACAAAAACTTGAGTCCTAATTACCTGTTAGAGACACAAATCCAAAATCATGTACAGGTAGCTAGCTATATGACGCCTTTTTCTAGAATTAGTACTCTATATGACCATCAACATCATGACAAAAACTTTAAAAAATATGTATTATTCTTATACATTTTGAGATAATATTTATACCTCAAGGAAAGCTTTTTAAAGAGTCAAAGTAACAGCCTGGTCTATAAGAGCTAGTTCCAGGACAGCCTCCAAAGCCACAGAGAAACCCTGTCTCAAAAAGCCAAAGTCAAAGTAAAACCAAAGGAGTATGAGATTATTGCCAATACATTAGTCCCTTAATTTTTGCTTTTCTTCTGCCCCATATGTGGTGGCTCTTCTGACATGAAACAGAGACTTTGAATTTTACTTTAACAGGCATGTTTGGGTTTAGAAAAGGAGAGAGCCGCACTCTAACTCCAAAGCCAGCTGTAATAATTGGGCTGGGACTTATAAAAAGACCATTTGCATTATATGTCTTTAGAGAAAATCACAAATAAACACTAGGTCTTAATAAATAAAATAAAAATAGGTGTTAATAATTAAAGCCCAGAGTCAGATATTAGGGGGTAAATGTTTAAGGATCACAGAAACAGAGCAGCCAGCCACTAGAGTTCTTTTCTCTATGAAATCCTCAGACTGAAAAGAGACCGATTTCCTGTCTCTAGTAGTTTCTTTCTGTGAAGCACTGGGAACCGTTCCCTCAATTCTCTGTGAGTACTTGCTAGAGTTTCTAGAGGTAAAATTCAAAAGTGTGAGTGACCTTTGAGCAGTTCCCCGGTACTAGTCTAGATTGCTTAATATGGTATACGTTTCTGTCTAGTAAATTGTGTTTCTCTGTCCTGTTTCTCTAGTATGTTGGGAAGCAGCTTGTTTGTGACTTCACTTTTCTTGTAACAGAAGATACACTTTAAAAACAAACAAACAAACAAAGATACACTTTTTACTTCTTTTTAGTTCAGAGTTAAAGACTACAACATTAGGAATCCTAATGTTGAGACATTTTCTGATAGAAACTTATCTCTAAGTGTTATCTTTTCTAACTTTGATGTTATATTTGCTTTTTTATGGATTGTTAAGAAAATATCTTGTTTTTCTTTTGATTTCTTCTTCATCCCATAGATTAATTGGAATTGTATTACTTAGTTTTGAAATATCTTCCATTTATCTTGGTTGTTTCTACTTTACTATCTTTATGTAACTTCCTTTAAATTTATTGAGACTTTCATGTTGTTTTACATATATTCTTAACCTTACTCATTTTTGAACTATTTGTTCATCCAGTTGTCAAATGATAGGTATGACTAGCTGAGGATTGGAGGTAAAGGGAGGAACTGTGTGCAGGTAAAAATATCAGGAAGGGAGACTCAGGTGACTTTGGGCTGAATACTGGTGACTATATAAGCCCATACATAGGCTGCACAGAAGTAGGCACAAAGGCATACAGGCCAGAAACACAGACAGGTTGGTGAACACTATATTCATCAAAACAACAACGCAATATGGCAGAAATAGTTACATAACATATATGAATTATTCCTGCCTTGTGGCTTTTATTCTACCTCCCTGCCTCCCACCGAGAGAGAGAGAGAGAGAGAGAGAGAGAGAGAGAGAGAGAGAGAGAGAGAGAGAGAGATGGATGCTGCATATTGAGTTCAAGTCCAATTCTTTTTTGGCATGGGATTGTGAGACATGCTCCCTATATTGCCCTGGCTATCCTGCAATTCACTATGTAGATCAGTCTCGCCTTGAAGTCACAGAGCCAGTGGACAACTTTGGGAGTAGGTTTTGTCTTCCAGGATTCAAACTCAAGTCTCCATTCTTGTTTCCTGAATCAGGATAATTTCTATACTGGGTTCTTCATGTTATCTAGGGTAAATCTGTGACTTTTCTGAGACTTGTTCAATAGTTTATACCTACTCATGAATGAAGGAATAGGTTTCAAATATTCGTACTTTGCCTTCTCACCAGTACAAATGACAGAGCCTGTACAACAGTACAACACATACAGGTTTTAAATAAAACCATAGCTGCAATGCTTTGTTTCCCTAGTGCAGAGTCATTTCTTCATTATAAATTTTTTTTGGTTGAAGTAGAGAATAGTTTTTGTACCTTGTTACAGCAACTTAGTAGGTATATTAATATTGTTGTATCTTAACACCATAGTGACTTTAGCTGGCTATGAGACATAAAACATATTCTTTTGGTTTTTTTGAGACAGGGTTTCTCTATGTAGCCCTGGCTGTCCTGGGACTCACTGTGTAGGCCAGGCTGGTCTTTAATTCAAAGAGATTCGTCTGCCTCTACCTCCCGAGTGCTGGGACTGTTGGCGTGCACCACCACCACCTGGCTCAAAACATATTCCTAATTATTCATTAAATTGCCTAAAAATCACAATAGACTCATTGAGGGATTCTCATTACAACCAAATAGCCAGTTTTATTTCTAGTGGAAAGGATAGAAAGACTGTATTATGGGGCTGGGGAGGTAGCTCAGTAGTTAAGAGCACTGGCAGCTCTTGCAAAGCACCTAGATTTGGTTCCTAGTACCAAGTATGGAGGCTAACAGCCATCTGTAACTCCAGGTTCCAGAAGATCTGACACCGTCTTCTGACCTCTTCAGGCACTGCATGTTCATGGTAAATAGTCAAAATACCCATATACATGGATAAAAATAAATGAAGATTTAAAAATATATTAGTATATGTTAATAAAAAAAAAAAAGAATTGGGGGTGCCCGAGACAGGGTTCAGTGAGTAAAAGCACAAGTTGTGTTTGTAGAGGACCTAGGTTTACTTCTCAGCACCCACATGGTGGCCCTAGGTTCAGTTCTCAGACTCCCACATGGTGGTTCAGAACCAATTCCAGGGTTCTCTGACCCCTTCTTTTGAACTCAAACATGCACTTGGTGTACCACACACGTACATGCAGGCAAAACACTGGTATACACTTAAAAAAAAGACTGACTTCCTTCGGTCGAGTATACACTAGCCAACTTTCTATCACTGGAGGACCATAATAAGAAAGGAAGGTTTTTTAGATCATGGTTTCAAAGGCTTTGGTCTGTAGTTTCATTGCTTTGGCCTGCATGTCGTTGAGGCCGTCCATCTCAACGTGAAAATGGGAAGTTAGGCTCAGAATGTCCACTTGAAAGGCATGTCCCTGGTGCCTAACTTCCACTAGGCTTTAACTATGTATGTACTGTAGGCTCCTAAAGTCCAACACAGGCCTTAACCAGGCCCTTGGAGCTACTTCAGATCCAAGTATCAGATAAGTACCTTGCATTTTGTGGTTGAAATAGCATCAAAGGCAGATATTTTCATTTTCTAGGATCATTCTCAGAGGGAACATGCACTTTTGAGATACTTTTAAAACACAGAGGGTTGGTAAAGGTCCCTGTGAATGAAACCTTTGTAGCTTTTGGAATAGGGGAAATTCACTATGTATATAGTATGGTTGTCAGCTATTATATTTTTTCATAAGTCTGGTATCTTTTGAAAACTTAGAAAGTACAGAAAAAAATGCAAGCTGCACTATGTCAGACAAGATGTGAATGAGGAGTAACCAGGATCATTAAGGTTTTGGGGAAAAGTATTGAAAACTGAGGTATGGGGTAGTTTCCAAATTGACGTTCAAGCTTGGAAAGGGTTCACGTTTCATCATTTTAATGTGATTAGTTTATTAAAAGGTTTTTGTTTTCTTTTCCTACCAGACTTTGAAGTCTGCCTTTGATCTTGTTTGTATGTTATAGTTGCTTAGAACATTGACTTTTTTTTATGAGATAATATGGGACTTATTGTTGAAAATCTATTATTGTCAGAGAGATGATAAAGTTTGAGAGTGTTAGCAGAAATGTAGCAGTAAAGATTTGACCCCTTTTTTTAACTTTTATCAGGTGTTCCAGTCACACTTATCTCCCAGTTCCCTGGAATATGCCCTCTGCCCTTGCACACCCCCACCCCCTAACAAAACCAAATTTAAAAGAAAAGCCTAAAACTAACCAAAACAAAAACAAAATAAAGAAGATGAATCTTATCATGGAAGCTATAGTATGGCTTGGCGCTGAGTTTACCCTTTTTTCCATATAAAAGATTTGATTTTTAAAACATTTCTCCTAGTCCTTCTTTTGAACATTGATTTTTGCAAAAATCACCAATCATTTTGAAAATTGATTTTTATTATTTTTCAATTTCATGTTTATTCTCATATGTGTTACATGGAAATTAATATTTGTATATCTATTTTTTTCATTTTCACATTAAATTTCATATCAGGTATCTCACAAAGATTTCTTCAGAAATTTATTGTTTTGTTCAAGGTAGTCAGTGAATTTAAATGCCTCAGATACTTGTGATGTAACAGTGACATAAAAGTTTCTTGCTCCTCAGGGATGCTATGAATTAAGTTAATTAGCATACATTTGGTTTAATATACATCCACACTCCCTTAACTTGCCATATTTTGGCCATACATTGTATTTAAGATGATTACTAAACCCAGAAACTAGTTGTCTAAGCAGTCTTTGTTATTTTTTGTAGTCATGTGCACATCATACAACTTTCCTTCAATTTGCAGAGAAATGATTTGTGTTGGAAAGACTTGAGTTTTCCTCAGGTTCTTGAAGTATTCTTGGTATATCCTAGGATGGAATCTGATAGACTGATGAGTGTAGTCCCTAATGGGTTGATAAACTTTTGTTCTCTTTGTTTACTGCTATTCTGAACAGTAAAGGTTGTAATTTATGGCTAAACAGTAGTATATTCTTGGTGAAAGTAATGCTTGAGAAATGAACCCCTTTGGTATTTTTGTGTATTTTTTTTAAGCATATTAGTAAGGTCAATTTATTTGCTGCATTCTGACCTTCAGTCAGCATTCAATTATAGATACTTTGTTTTAAAGTAGTGACAGGGTGTGGGTGGGGTATGCTGGAAGCCAGTAGTGGAAGCCCAACACATAAAAGGCCCTGGGGTGGATCCTGAACATGGTAAAACAGAAGTAAAAAAAGTTAAGATAGATTTTATGGTACTTGTTTTTGTATGCTTTTCTTTGATAGACTGCCTGATGTGTAGAATGAAAATGTTCACATAAGTTCAGTGCTTATACATACTGTTTTCTTTAGCCAAATATAATTAGTTCTTTTTTCCTCCCCCCTCCCCCTTTTTAAATGAATATGTTAGACTTACACAAGTACTAGCAACAACTCTATATCTGGATCTTTGAAGCGCTTGGAAGATACTGCAGCACGATTTACAAATGCAAATTTCCAGGAAGTCTCTGCACATACCTCTAGTGGAAAAGATGTTTCAGAGGCTAGAGGGTCAGAGGGAAAAGGGAAGAAATCTTCAGCTCACAGCTCAGGTCAAAGGGGAAGAAAACCTGGTGGTGGAAGAAATCCAGGAACAACTGTGTCAGCATCTAGCCCCTTTCCACAAGGTATTATATTTTAGTTAAATACTTATTTTGATAGTAGTCAATAGTTGTTAATGTTTGATAAAAGAATTTATTTATTTTAGATTATATAATTAGTTGATAGTAGTGTAGGATTACTTCTAAAAGTGTTTTATTTTAAAATGTTTCTGAAACTTTGCTACCCTTGATTTAATGATTTATGTTTTTAAAGCTAATTTTAATGTTTTAAATGGCTGAAGAATAGAGATTATGATTAAGCTTCTATTCTTTTAAGATTGGGAACTCTATTTCTACAAGCTGTTTTTATTTACTTTTCCTAATAACATCTTATGTTTTAGTAGGTAAGTGAGAACTGAGTATGTCTTGTGTAATCTAAGTAGATCTTAGTGATATGTGATAAACAGCACATTTATTCCAAAGCTTGAGTTAAAAGTAGACTTTTACTCATGAGCCCTATGTTCTGTGTTCAGGTTGTTATATTAATAGGATCCCCTGTATATTTGAATTCTACATAAACAACAAATACTATTTTAGTGTATTTCCCAAATACTATTTGGTATAGACTGAAATTCAATATTAATTAATTCAATAATTAATAATTTAATAATATTAAATTCAACAATTAATTCAAAATTAATATTAATTAATTCAATATTAATGTGTTTTTTTATGGCAGCCCTCTGTGGAAAAGAGGAACACTACTAAAATTTTAAAATTTATATGCCAATTTTGAAAAAATACCTTGTTTGCATGTCTTTGTAGTTCCCCTAGAAGTAAATGAAAAGACTGCCATTTACCTTTGCTGGAGCATTTGATAAACTTAAATCCAAAATGTTACAGTAATATTTAAATACCAGTTTGCTACTCTGTTTCATACTAGTAATAACTAGGAGCTACAGAGTTATAAGTCTCAGGCATATGTATGTGCATATAGTCCTTTTTGAACAAAAGGTTGAATAAGCATAGATAAAACAGAATGCAAAGTCACTATTTTATTTAAATATTAGTTATTTTTATGCTTTGAAAATTACTCAACCCTTAATTAACCTTAACTGTAACTTGATTCACATTTTTAATGAATGCTGGATTAGCAGAAGTCAATTAATAAGACTGTTAAAATTCTTTATTTAGATTTGAGTTTTGAGATTTAGCCTAGCCTGCCTTTTAATACCCTGTGTGTGGGTTCTGATCTTCCTTCCTCAGTCCTCCAAGTGCAGGAACTGTATGTTTGGGTTGCCCTGCCTGCTTTATTCTTAAGTTTTTATTTGTATGAAGGTTTAATCCATTTTGAAGAGGTAGCACCTATACTTTTGGATCTTTGAAGATAGAAAATATTTTACACTTATATAACTGAGGCAATCAATAAAATGTTGAAATATGAAGATAAGGTATTTAAGATGGCCTCTTTTTATTAACTGTACCTTGTGACTTTTTGAAAATTTAAATATACCAAATAACTGAATTTCAGAAAATTTAAATATACCAAATATTTAAAAGTATTTTTTTAATATTACGTTCGTGCACTGTGTGTGTGTGTGTGTGTGTGTGTGTGTGTGTGTGTGTGTGTTAGTTTTAGGGCAGGATTGAGAGAAGGGTCTTCCATGTGTTGTGCAAGCCTTATAGTTTAATTTTATGAAACAGTAGATGTTGGAGATGATAGTTGTTTATTTCATTTGGCAAACGTGAAGATTTTTGTGACATAGGGGTGATGGAAACTTTATTTCCAGGGTAATTTTTCTAACCAGGCAACAAGGACTTCGAGGCTCTTAAACTCTGCATGTTGATAGGGGATATTGCTAAGTAGGTTTTTGTTTTTTGTTTTTTTGTTTTTGTTTTTTTTTTTTTTTTGACCTGAGTGAGGAGAGAGAATAAGCAGTTGGGAAAGAGGCATTAAAAAAAGCTACCACTTTCTTCCATGATGTTTTCATTCTCGTTTTTAAATTCATTTACTTTATGTGTTCTGTCTGTGTACCATGTGCATGCCTGAAGAGGTCTGAAGAGGGCATAAGATCCCTTGGACCTGGAGTTAGAAATGGTTGGTTGTAATCCACCATCTGAGTGCTGGGAACCAAACTTGCTTCCTCTGCAAGAGGAACAAGTGCTCTTAACCACCGAGCCATCTCTTCACATGATAGTTTCTTTTTTTAAAATCAGTAATACAGTATTCTGGTTGGTTTTCCATTATGAACAACAGACAGTTGAGGCGCACACCTTTAATTCCAGCACTAGGGAGGCAGAGACAGGCGACTCTCTGTGAGTTTGAGACCAGTATGGTCTACAAAGTGAGTTCCAAGATAGCCAGAGCTAACAGAGAAACCCTGTCACAACACAGGTCCGCCCACCCTCCCCCCCAAAAAAGGTGAAAAATGAAAGAAAAAATAAAAGTCAGCTTCCTGGAGAACATATTGTAGTTTTGTCAGATGTTCTCATCTATCTTCAGTTTTTCCTCTATTCTCTCTAACAGTGTGTCTGAGGGAGAACTGAGGAGTTCTGATAAAAGGTGTTAAGCCTGACAATTGGGAGGCAGAGGCAGGCAAATCTCTGTGAGTTCGATGTCAGCCTGGTTTGCAGAGCGAGTTCTAGGACATCCTAGAACTGTTTGACACAGAAGCCCTGTCTTGACCCCCACCCCTCCAAAAAAAAGTTAGGTTAAATAAGGCATAGTATAACGTTTTAAAGATAATTTTAGAGATAAAATTGATTTCAATAATAACCTTTCTTGAATCAAATTCCAGTACTCAATGATGACCTATGTTTTATAATTTACTTTTAAAACATCCGTTTCTTTTTGATAATTATGTTTTGTCTGTTGCTTAGAGGAGCTTTGTGTTCCAATTTTTCTTCATCTTTCACCTTTGCTTTTTTGTTTGTGTTTTGCTGCAGGCAGTTTTTCAGGAACTCCAGGCAGTGTGAAATCATCTTCTGGAAGTTCAGTGCAGTCTCCCCAGGACTTCTTAAGCTTCACAGATTCAGATCTTCGCAATGACAGTTACAGTCATTCCCAGCAGTCATCATCAACCAAAGATGTACATAAAGGAGAGTCTGGAAGCCAGGAAGGGGGAGTAAATAGTTTTAGTTCTTTAGTGGGTCACCCTGTGACCTCAACTGTTACTTCACAGCCCAAAAGCTTTGAAAATTCACCTGGAGATTTGGGAAGTTCCAGCCTCCCTACAGCGGGGTATAAACGGGCTCAGACTTCCGGTATCGAGGAAGAGGCTGTAAAGGAAAAGAAACGAAAAGGAAATAAACAAAGTAAACATGGGCCAGGACGACCCAAAGGAAACAAAAGTCAAGAGAATGTTTCACACCTCTCAGTTTCTTCTGCTTCACCAACATCGTCTGTAGCATCAGCTGCAGGAAGTGTAACAAGCTCTAGTCTTCAGAAATCTCCCACATTGCTCAGGAATGGAAGTTTGCAGAGTCTTAGTGTTGGGTCATCTCCAGTTGGTTCAGGTAGGGCTGTGTGCCTTGTTCCCCACTTCATCCCTGTATTACCCTTTCTTTCATTATCCAAAGAGTTATGAATAGTTGTTATGTATATACTTTGAATTGCTAAGCTACGTTTAATTAAGATGATGTTTCTTAATATTAATTTTTAAAAATATATTTGTATTTTGAGAAAACAGAGGCTTATTAAATAGCCCAGGTTGGCCTGGAGCACTTTGTAACCTAGTCTGGCTTCAAATTCTTGATCCTCATGGATCAGCCTCTCAAGTGCTGGATAATTAACGTGGCATTTCTAATTTTTAAATATTTCTTCATAGGTAAAACATGGGAGCTCATTAAATAGCCCAGACTGTCTTGGATCACTTTGTAACCCAGGCTGGCCCCAGATTCTTGGTCCTCATGTATCAGCCTTCCATGTGCTGGAATTGTAGTTGTTTTATACTGTGCCTGGCCATTTTTTTCAGGATGAGAGGGCTCGTGTGGAGGTCAGAGGATACCTTGAAGCAGTTGATTCTGTCCGTCTGTCCTTCCTTCCTTCCTTCCTTCCTTCCTTCCTTCCTTCCTTCATCCATCCACTTTGTGGGTCTCAGGTCATCAGGTCTGGTGGAAAATGAAAATAGTTTACAATCCTGGAAAAACTATTTGGTGCTTAAATATTCAGCATTAATCTCATGTGTTAGTTAAATGTAAATAGCTTGTAAGTCATCTGTTTTTTTATTTGCCAAGTGTGTTTTTCTTCACCTTTGTGTTATGTTTAACACTAAACCAGGGTTCACATCACTTCTCCACTGGCTTTTGCTGTCTTCTTATTTTGACCTCTTTTGCTGAACTTCATTTTTTATTTCGCTTTCTCTGTAGTTGCACCTAAATAATGTGAATTACTCTGCTTGGGACTTTTTTTTTTTTAAATCAGTGATAAATAACCAAAGTTAGGATTTATCAGGTGCTTTTCATGTCAAATGATAGCTGAATTGCTTTAAATTTTGTTTTAAATACATGTACCGTTATTTTTATCTGAAACTAGAGTTGACTGGATTTATTTGAAAGTGGTCCCAGGGCTTACTTTTATTTTTAACTTTGAAATACTGGCTCAGTCTTGTCTAGAAGTGACTGTCTAGCACAGGCAGGCCTGAAAATCGGCTGTGAATCAGTTGCTTGAGTGTCTTCAAGGTACTGAGATTACAGGTGTGCACCAGCATACCTCTTATCATTATTTTTATGACAGTAAATGAATTTATATGTAGTACTCATGTCACTGGTATGCTTCTGTGTAACCTATAATTTGTGCAACAAATAATTTTAAGTCTTTAAAAATACTGAAAGTGCATACTTTATTCTTTTATTCATTTTAATGATTTGTTATATGTATGAGTATTTGCATGTCTGCATGCCATGTTAGTGCCTGGTGCTCTCTGAGGCCAGGAGTATGTGTAATACCCCTGGAACTTGAGTTACAGATGACTGTGAGGCACTGTGTGGGTGCTGGAAACCATATCTGAGTCCTTTGCAGAGTCTAGCTGTGTCGGTCTGGCTGTCTTAGTACTCATGATGTTTGAAACTCAGACATTTGCCTTCCTCTCCCTGTCTGTGCTGGGACTAAAGGTGTGTGCCACCACATCCTGCCTCAAGCTTCTCTCTCTGTCTCTGTCTCTGTCTCTGTCTCTGTATCTCTCTCTCTCTCTCTCTCTCTCTTGATTCTCTCTCTCTCTCTCTGAAGAGTTTTTATTTTCATTTATGTGTGATGGCACATGTGTGGGCACCCATGGAGGTCAAAACAGACAAAGGCACTGGATCTCCTGGGGATGAGGTTAACAGGCTATTGTGAGCTGCCTGGTATAGTTGCTGGAAGTTGAACCTAGGTCCTCTTAAAAAAAACCAGCAAATGCTGTTAATACCAAGCCATCCTTTCAGCACTATCTCTTAAAAGTTTCAAGTTCATTTGTCCTTTTTTTTTTTTTTTTTCTTTTTTAATGTGAGATAAATGGCTTTCAATAAATCTTGACTGTAAACCTCACTCTTCTGCTAGCTTTGGATTTCTGATGGTTGAAATGAGATTTCAGCTAAGATACAATGTTATGGATAACATTTTATTAGCTCATAATGAGAGAAGGAAGAAATGGTGTATAAAATAAAGACAATTAAGTGAAAAACGTTCATTATATTTTTATGTTGAATATTAACTTATAGTCTATAAATAAAAATAACAGTGACCATTCCAAGAAAGAAGCATATATACATAATCCTATATGAAAACACTGTACTGTCTGTTATGTTAGGTCTCACTAAGTGCATTGTTACTTATATCTCATTTAGCAGTAGTTTATAAAGGGCTATTGATGTCCTGGTTCCAGAGCTGGTAGAGCTGAGGTTTTGAGGTAAAGTTGCCCCACAGAGCCTGCAGTTTTTTTGTTTGTTTCTAATAGATCACTTTGGTGTCTATTGTGGTTTTCAAACAGCCCTCAATTTAGTGGAATCTGTAGAATTGTTACATTGTTAGCACTATGGGTGGGGTGTTGTGGGGTAAGGTCCTCAGTCTTGGTGTTAAATGGCATGTTGGGTGGGATATTCTTGTGTTCATTCAGTATTTGTCTTTTATAGGATGTTTGCCAGAATTCCCAGCCCCTTCTCATTAGTTGTTAGTTGGTGTCCTCCCATAATAAAAATGTCTCCAGACATTGTTAAATGTCCCCAGGAGGCCAAAATTGCCTCTGGTTCGGGACCACTGTTTCAGGAAGTGGGAAGAATAAATTACAGAGGGTACAAAGTTCATTAAAAAGATTTAAATATATTGCACATTTGAATAAATGTTTTTTTATTTATGTTTCCCTTGAGACCATAAGGGCCTAGCAGTCAGCCTTAACCTTTTGCTACAAAAGTAAATTTAAATAAATTTACTCATAAAGATTGGGTTCATAGTATCTTTAGCAAAAGTTATAATAATTAAATGAGTACCTTACTGAGAACATAAAGCTTAAATTTGTTTTTGTGGAGGTCTTTACTGAGTCCTGTACTTTTGAAACATAGCCAGAAAAAATTTGAATTTTAAAGTTATATTTGAATGCTTCTTTGAGACACATGCCTTTAGATTAATGGAATTAAAAAATAATGAATTTACAGATCCCTTTTCTTTTTTAAATCTGGTACATATTCAGGGCTGATTTTAGACATGAAAAGTAATGTTCTTTTTAGTGAGCAGAGTTTATGGTACATTAGTTGCAGTACAAAGCTTAATTCATATTTCCTTTACCCCACTATTATGTCAGTATACTTATCTAGAAGTAATTTCCATTAGGAGATAGTATAGTTTCAATTCAGTAAATTACCTAAAATTTTTAATAATGCAAATAAATTTTAAATAATGCAAATAAATTCAAAATTGTGTTAAAAACCAAATATGTGTTAAAACAACTAAAATTATAAAATAAAATTATTTAAAGCTGAGATAATTCCTGTTACACATTTCTTTGGTTTTTCTTTTTCTTTTCTATCTTTTTTGGTTTTTCGAGACAGGGTTTCTCTGTGGCTTTGGAGGCTGTCCTGGAACTAGCTCTTGTAGACCAGGCTGGTCTCGAACTCACAGAGATCCGCC